TGAGGTGCGGTTGCGGGCCAGCCAGGGGTCTCACACATGGCAGCCACCATTGCTGTAACTTGCCTGTGGAGACTTGTCCACGGTGGCAGCCACCGCATGCAAAACCTTCCCTTCTCCAATCCCTCCCCCCCCGCCACCCACTGCCACAGAGCCATGGCTGCTGCCTGTGGGGGGCCTTGAATTTTTATCACTGATTTTGGGTTTTTAATCAGAATTTGCAATTTTTAATCGGAGAAAACCAGGGTCCCTGCTCATAAGAATTTAGCAGCTAGTTACCAGCTTAGCCGTTGTTAGTGAGATAGTGAAAATGTCAGACTGGTGAGAGAGCCCTTTCAGCAGAGAAAATAGGTCACATCAAGTAGCTGACAGGGACATGCAATAACATTTTAGTTTAATTAAAAAAAATTTTTTTTTTTTTCAAAAGTACAATCGAGCAGGCTTGTTTAGAAGAAGAGGCCACAGATAACTAACCTGAGCTATGGGGGGATTTCTTTTTCTCTTTTACATATCTTCCAGGTTAAACAGCTACAAATGCATTACTGACACCCTTCAGGAACTGGTAAATCAGAGTAAAGCTGCTCCTCAGTCTCCTAGCGTACCCAAAAAGCCAGGCCCCCCAGTGTTGTCATCTGATCCAAACATGCTGAGCAATGAAGAAGCTGGACATCATGTAAGAAATTAATAAAAGAGGGAAAGTCACACCTGTCTTGATTTTTACACATTTTAGAAAATGGTCTGATTTAACAGGCTGCCAAGTAGTATGAAACTTATTATAAAAATGTTATCAAAGCGTGGGATTACAAAGTAGCTAAAAGGATTTGGCACAAACTTGTTTCAATGGGTAAAAATGTAGTATTAGATGACAACATAGGAGTATAGGTATTAACACACAGATCACAGAAATTGGCAGTAGTCGTGTAAAGGTATGCAATGAGCTATTTATGAAATGGGAACAGTTCTGGAATAACAGCTTTGAGCTTTTCTTTCTTCAGTTTGAACAAATGCTTAGACTGGCTCAGCGTTCAGCAGATGAACTCTTTAGTATTGCGCTCTATAACTGGCTGATACAAGCTGACCTTGCAGACAAATTGCTACAGGTAAGATCATGCAAAATAAACCTCTTCAAACAATATTTTGTAGTATGCTTTCCTTTAACCAAACAGGTTGATTGTAGTAGTACAGGATAAAACATATGCTATGGGAACATTTTTTTCAAAGATGTTGAAAAAATAAGAGTATAACTAATTTATATGACTCTTGCAGGTGTCCTCCCCATTTTTGGAGCCACATCTGGTGCATATGGCCAAGATTGATCAAAACAAAGTCCGTTATATGGATTTACTGTGGAGATACTTTGAGAAGAACAGAAATTTTAGTAATGCAGCCAGGGTGTTAGCTAAGTTGGCAGACCTGCATAGGTATGGACTGTTTCTAATCGTTGTTTTGTTAGAATTATAGAAAAACAGGGCTGGAAGGACCTCAGCAGGTTATCTAATCCAGTCCCCTGTTCAAGTTAGGATCATCCCTATTTACACCATCCTAGACCAATTTCCTAGTATTGAGATGATTACAAAATAAAAAAGCATAAGCAAAACTAGAACATCCCATAAAGATTTAAGGACTGTGAGGAAAGCACTAAGACTTGAACTAAAAGGGTGAAATCAATCAAACACATTCGCTTTTAATATGGTATCTCCTCTCTTAAAAAAATTAAAAGATCTTATTCATAGTTGATCCAGAAGTAAATAGCGCCCACGACAGTGTATCTGTAGAATATTACATGGCAGTTTAATTACACTATGTATTGCAGGGATGGCCAACCAGCAGTGTGCCACTTACAGCATGCATAGTTGGCTTCTGTGTAGGAGGCAGCATATCGGGACAGACAGCACAGCAACAGATTGGGCAGGGAGCAGAAAGCAGAGTAGCAGATTGAGCAGGGGAAGGGGATCAGAGTTCCCCTTGGAGGATGCCAGGCTTCAGTTGCAACAAGCCTGCCAAAAATGTTGGTCCCTACTGGTGTACTGTATAAAATAGTTTTATACATATGGAGCAGCAGAGGGAGGAGTTTACTGCATATAAGCATATATGGGTTAGGTGATTTAGTTAGGAGAGTTAGTGCTCACATTAGTGAATGAAAGAATGCCTGGCATTCAAAAACTTGTGTAACTTTATCACAAGCATGCAGTTAATCCAAGAAAAGATATAACATAAAAAAATACTTGCCTCTCACCTGAGTGTAGTTATTTTGAGACTGTTCATGTTTGGTTTACAATTTGGACATTTCTTTTACAGCACAGAGATATCACTTCAGCAGCGACTTGAATATCTTGCACGTGCCATTCTGAGTGCCAAGAGCTCTACTGCCATATCATCAATAGCTGCAGATGGTGAATTCCTACATGAACTAGAAGAAAAAATGGAAGTAAGAAAAACAGTACACTAAGCTAGGTTGAAAAATGAGTATGTTAGTGTCGCTGAACATGTCACTTGCATTATCACAAATTATCTATACACAATTTGATCAGGCTCAGTTGCATTGTTCCCCAAAAAATCAGTGGATGCAATTGCAGTTGTTTTAACAAACTGCTCTGACATGTTTTGTTGTTTTGGGTTTTTTTTAACTAGGTAGCCAGGATACAGCTTCAAATACAGGAAACATTACAGCGCCAGTATTCTTATCATTCCTCGGTACAAGATGCAATTTCCCAGCTGGATTCTGAGCTGATGGACATAACCAAGGTGATTTTTAAAAGTGGATATACATCTCACTATTTCATGTACAAAAATAATGCAGGATTCTGTTCTTAAATTTTCCCCAATGTCTGAAAATCATGCATTTCAATCATCAGAAAAATGCTGAAGTGGGTTCAGCCTCTTATTGAAGCATGGCCTTTCTGATTTGATACGGTGGGTGTCTGTAGGCATGCTGAGAGGCTGTTCCAACGTGCTGTAATTACAGCGCATCAGAGCAGGCTTGATTTAGTCAAGTCTGCTGGAATGTGCTAGTTAGCATGCTCCAGCCAGCCTCTGTTTGACAAGCTTCAGTTAAAGCACCCCTGCTTTTGGACTTACAAACTGAATTTTTAAACCTAAAGCTTTTAAATATTGACACACCACTTACTTGATTAATAGCAGAAAGGCTTGCTTTAATAACTACCAACAAGCTGTGCAACTAAGTGACAAAAACAAAAGCCTCTATTATAATATTCAATAAATGAGCTATTACAGTTCTTGTATTATTTTAGCTGCAAGAATTTTTTACCCAAGAAGGCAGGAAGTAGTTCTTATACAGCTTTCACAGAGCTCCAGTCCTCCACTTGTGACCTGGGTACAGGTTGGCTTCTTGATCTTCCCTGGACTGCATACATTACTGGCAGTTTTGTCTTGCTTTTTATACTGTCTTAATTGTATAGCTTCAAAGCATTCCTTCTTGATAGTTGGTTAATTGAAGTCCAAACAAAGCAGGCAAAAACGGAATTAACATATTACAATTGTATCCTGTTTGTGTTTGTTTTGCTTCTGCAAACTTTTGATCAGTTTGGAATCAAATGGGATGGGTATTGATTGAATGGGGTACCTTTAGAAAGTAGTTAATCACAGAAATGGAGATAGTGAAGATCAGAGGCCATTGGATACAATAGGTACAAGTTTCAGGAGAATAAACTGGTTTAGCATAATAAACATTTAGACATTTGTAAAACTTTAGACAGATATTGGATGTTTGCTTTGGGAGTGCGTTAACCTGGATATATTTACAGTCGTGTTTTCAGTGTACTCTGGCTCTTTGCTCTTACAGGCTTTGCTTTGAAGTGCATATTTCGGTGCTTTTGTTTCCTTTAGTGACACTTAGCTCAACTGAGATGTGTATGTAGTTTGTAGTTTTCTCCCTAGGGCATTTGGCTCAATAGCTTCTGAGTCTTGTTATGTACGTGTAATGAGTGTGTCAGGTCTCTGCCAGTAATTTTAACCATCACTTTTATTTTTTAGGCTTGAGTATGGTAGAAGGTTGAGGACTATTATCATGATTGTTATCTTATGGCATGGGTATGGTATTGGGTACCACAAGCTCCGCTTTCTCTACACGTAATGTGTTGCAGCCATTAGCAGTTTGATTTTCTGTGTGGCAGAATTGTCACCACAACCCAATCTTGCTCCAGCCACTGCCTTGCATTTTTTACACTGTTATTTTAATCTGGTATTTCATGTCCAAGCTTTCACAGCTTTCATAGTCATCGCCGCCGCTGCCATTTTGAAATGCGGGGACACTGATACATGAGACACTGAAGGCCCTTTAATTAGAGCAGCTCTCAGAACTGATCTAATTAAAGCGCCCTCTCACCCCCGGAGCACATGCAAAAACACCTTTTGTGTCCAACCTGTAGTAATTCCTTCTCAATCTAACTCTGTATTATGTGCTGTATGAAAGATAAGCAGAAAGAACAGAGTACAAAGCACACCAATTTTTCATTCTCAAGTGTTTTAAAATTGAAAGATTGTATAGCAGGGGTCAGTAACCCCTGGCACATGAGGCCATTTTGCTTGGCACGCCGCGGCCAGCCCCAGCTCTGGGAAGCTGCTGCCAGCGACGGAGCCCAGGCTGCTCCGAGCAGGGCTTGCAGCATCCTAGCTGCCTGCTGGGAGCAGCCTGGGATCCCGGCTGGCAGCAGCTCCCCAGAGCCAGGGCCAGCTGCAGTTGGGAGGCTCCAAACAGCTGTGCCGGGCTCCAGCACCAGCTCCGCACCAGCGTGTGCAGGCACACCTCAGAGTGGGCGGTGGGGGTGGGGCCAGAGGCAGCGCAGCCCTGGTCTCTCCCCTGCTCCTGGCACAAAGATGATGAGCCTGGCACAGCTGTTTGTAGCCAGCCTGCTGCTTGCTGCAACTGCCCAGAGCCCAGGTAGGCTCAGGCCCCGCCCCCATCACCCACTCTGAGGTGTGCCTGCGTGCTGATGCTGGAACCTGGCACAGCTGTTTGG